GCATATGTATGTGCGTTAAATGTGACGCATTCAATTGTTTCGTATGCGTGTTTTGAGACACGGTACTCTTCAATGTTAGATAACGCGTTTCACTGCATCGTGACACTGTTTGTCACGTTACGCGTTCTATTGCAACGTGACACTGTTTGTCGCGTTACGCGTTGTGTTGCACGCGATGCGTTTCATTGCAACGTGACACTGTTTGTCACGTTACGTGTTTCATTGTCACGTTACGCGTTTTCTTTTCACGCAACGCTAGGCATTATCATCAACTCGCAAACCATTTCATTGCTACGGAACGCGCTTCATTCCAATATGTCATGTCACGGTCTATGCGCTCACGTGACGCGCATCGTTGTCACGTCACACTTTATGTGCTCACGTGACGCGCATCCTTGTCACGTCACGCTTCATGTGCTCACGTCACAGCTCACGTGACGCGCATCGTTGTCACGTCACACTTTATGTGCTCACGTGACGCGCATCCTTGTCACGTCACGCTTCATGTGCTCACGTCACACTTTATGTGCTCACGTGACGCGCATCGTTGTCACGTCACGCTCTTTAAGTGCTCACGCGGCACTTTATGTGAACACGTCATGCTTTACGAGCCCACGTCATGCTTTATGTGCTCACGTCATGCTTTATGTGCTCACGTCATGCTTTATGTGCTCACGTCATGCTTTATGTGCTCACGTCATGCTTTATGTGTCACGTCATGCTTTATGTGCTCACGTCACGCTTCATGCGCTCACGCGGCGTGCGCAGGTACCGTCGTCGGACCGATATCCTTGGACACGTTCTCGCTGCTTGGCACGGAAGTCCCAGCGACGCCACCGATGCAGCTGTGCTCGGCGCGCGTCGTGCGCGTCGGAGCAAACTTGCCATGCCACGTGAAGCCGTCGACTATCGCCGACATCAACGCTGCCGGCACAACGTACACGAATCGGTAAGTGAGCGACCCGGGGCGGGTAGGACGTTCTAACACAGCAGGCGGTCTAACATGGGTGGGTGTGGGTTAGGTGTGAGTTAGGGCGGTTTAACATGGGTGGGTGTGCGTTAGGTGTGAGTTATGGCTGTATATCAGTGCGACTGGTAGGCTGCTGTCTCTATCTCTCTTTCTTTCTTTCTTTCTCGTTCTCTTTTTCGATCTTCTCTCTCTCTTTCTTTGTCTTCCATCACCCCCTTTCTCGTTCTTTCTTTCTTTCTTTCTTTCTTTCTTTCTTTCTTTCCCTCTCTATCTTTGTTTTACTGTCTTTTCTCTTTTCCTCTAGGCGAGGAATGCGGTATCATAGTATGTGTTTCATTATATCGCAGTACGATCAGTGGCATCATAGACATGGCGACGATCGCTCTTGGCACCTGCGCCAACGTCGGTGATGATAGCGTCGCGTACACTAATGGAGAAAACAACGTAGAGATAAAGCTCGCCTTCAAGGTGCGAAATTGTAGCCTTTAGAACTATCCTTAGCGTGGTGGCACCCTCCTTCGTGTCAGTAGCCACGTGCATGCCATGAGGGCGCCACGTGTACGGTATCGGGGTGTCCCATGCACAGTAGTAAGGGTAGCAATGGTTAGTAACATGGCATAACAATTGTTTAGACGTAATCGTAATACTGGTTTATTGCTGTTGTTTCTAATTACGATTCCAAATACCTGTCAGCTTAACGAGCGGACTTGCGTTGATTCCAGCTCGCGAAAGATTCGGATCTTGGCACCGTCAGCAAGGTGTCTGCCGTAATGCAGTACAGTGAGACGGGTCTGTGGATAGGCCTAATGTCTTTCACCACAGTCGATACTTACACGCCTGTGAGTAAGATTTCCTACTCGTTATAGACATTTCATGGTTTTTCATCATTCTGCATAGAGAGTCGATGTTGTTTAATTATCCATTGCGCTCAAAGCAAATTTTTGTACCTGCTGGAAAATCAGACGTACACGCGCACACACACGCACGCGCACTCCCCCTACACCCACATGTATACACAAACGCACGCACGCACACACGCAGGTGCACGCACGCATACCAGGTGCCCCCCACACGCTCTTATGGTATTTGTTGTTCCCGCCTTTAGGGAAAAATTGATGGCAGTACCTACTCCGTTAGTCCCGTAGTCCCGCCGCTCACCGCGCCTCTTGTGAGGGTCTTCTACAGAGTGAAGCTCCCACGTGGTTTCCGCACGCACGCGGCGGTGGAGATGACGGCTAGCATATACATGAGCATCTGTGACATCAAGCTGATTACGGTATAGATAGACCTAGAGTCGTTGTGTCGTACATATCCAAAACACATATAATATAATCTCAACTAAATCTCATATACAGATTAATCTCACGCCTGTTCTATTACACCAATATATGCAAAACACATAAATCTCACACCTGTACTATATTACACCAATATATGCAAAACACATAATTCTCACCTGTTCTATTACACCAATAGATGCAAAATACATAAATCTCACACCTGTACTATATTACACCAATATATGCAAAACACATAATTCTCACCTGTTCTATTACACCAATAGATGCAAAATACATAAAT